GAAGTCTCTATCCTCGGTCATGGATTTACGCAGGGCGGGGAGGCGGTGGAGACAGAGGTTGGAGGGTCCTTACCCTGCGGTCCTAAATATTTGCGAGTTGAATGTACACAGGCAGATGATGCTGTGTAGGGTGGTCCATGCTCTGTCTGAATTATGCTAACTTTCCGCTGTGCAGGAAAAAAAAGTCCTACAGACTCTGTTTCCCTAGATTCACTGAATAACTGGCCCCTTCAACGCCTAAGTGTGGAATTGCAAGGCGAATATTCTTTAGAGAAGCTCTTCTTAGCCTCGTTTTTGGCTGTGTCCCTAAACACAATGTGAAAGACATCCAGGCTGAATTAGGAGCATAAAAGAGGCATGTGACGAATCGTTTCCAGTCTGTGCCCCCCCTTCAAATGTGCCAGGGAGCCATATGGCCCTCTTTGAGAATTGGCTGTTTTAGAGCCACCCTATGCAACATATCCAGAACGGCGAGGGAAAAGGCTACTCCTGAGTTTACCCATTAGAACTGAGTGAAATTGAGGCACAGACTGGCAAGCATGCTCAGTTTCTTTAGGATTAGCCTGCAAAACAGCTCAGATCATTTGGGAGCTCGTTAGGAACTAAGAGTGACCTGCTTAGGCCTGGATCCAGCTACCAGTCGTACATCAAGGAGGCCCATTGGACTGGCGGGATTTACGTAGGTGTTGATTTACAGTTATTGCTGGTTGCGACCAGAAGTCCCGATTTAGGCGAGCTTTGTGGTGATGGTGGCTTTAAATGTTGGAAGAAAAGGGCCTTGTTTTAAGCTCATCAGGTTAAAATGCAGCGGGCATTTGTGATGTTCCGGAATAGGGACAAGGGGGTCAATTTCTGTCCTCCCCACACACACCCTTAACTGAATGGAATTTCTGCTGTTGTGTTCTTTTTAATTAGGGCCTGTTGAAGCCCTTAATGAGGGGACATAACATAGCTATAGAGCGGAACAGAACAAAGCAGAACAGCGGGAGAGATTTTTTGGAACTTCCAGTCTGCCCGAGGAGGCCTCTTTTTCTGTCATTTCCAAGTGTCAACTTTGGTGGTTTCTGGATTTTTAAACTGGAAAACCAGCCAGGGACGCCTTCTAAAACTGGTGGCAAAACCCCTCGAAGGCAGGGACCTCCAGGTTCGGTTTTGTTTTTCTATGCCGAAGGAAGGGAGACGGGGGCCCCCCGTGCTGAGCTTGCTGTTGTTTCTAGAAGCGGTGTCAAGGGCTATGTTTATATCCTTTCATTCCCCCAAAGCTCCTGGGACCTCAAGACAGCCCAGCAGCGGTTCAGCTGTGCCCAAAGAAAAATTTCCCTTGATTTTATGAGAGATTAGAGCATGGGAATGGGGGGAGACGGGCCAGGGAACCGGTTGAGTCATGCGCTTTCAGAGAGCATGGTTTCGGAAGCATAGCGGAGTTTGTGGGGTCAGTTCTAAAGTAATCCTGTGTGAAACAGTCATGGTGCCATTGATTCTCCTGGGGTATCCCATGATAGCAGGGCAGTCTCCCCGTGTGCCTGGATAAATCCGAGTCGTAAGGAACACCCAATAAAAATCAACGGCGCAGCCGGCATATGGCGTGGCAGCTTGGAGGTTTAAATCAGGGGTGTTTCCCAGTGCTCAAACCCTTTGCAACATTTTGGATCCTGACTCCACAAACTGCCCACTTGGCCACGTCCCTGCTGGCCCACCAGGGGATTTTCTGGATCCACACTGTCAGATGGATGCTTAGGAGAACCACTGTTTTTAGGAGTGCGCGTAAAGTCCCACTCGGTATGGGACGTCCCGGTACGCCTTGCAAAAAGTCACAGCAGATATTGGCATGCCCCAAAGAGGGTGCGATCATTGGAAGCCGGAGGTTGGGTGCTTGATTCCTCACTGTGTCTCGTTGACAAGGACTGAACTCGCTCCTCTATCGGGGTCCCTCCCAGCTCTGCCGTTCCAAAATGATTATTATTAAGATGAGCAATTTTAGGCATTGCAGTCAGGCAAGAGATATTGCTTACTTGGCAGGGTCTTTTCTTTTTAAAAAGTCTAAGATACAAGGTTCAAAATGATGCATATTTGGCGTAATACCAAATAAGTTACCAAATAATCCTTTTAATCCTGAGATAAAACGAAAGGGAAACTCAACATAAAACTATAATGTACAGGTAGCCGGGCCATTGTTTCCCATTTTTGTCCAGTTCTCCTGAGTTCCTGGTGTGGAAATCACTGTCTAGCAGGAGTCGTAACAATGAGCGCCATTCACTTGCTGCCAGAGTAGACTCATTGAATCCTGGTGACTTGCATAAGTGTAGTCTCAGTGACTGATTCAGTGCATCTCCCCTGGATATTCATAGGGTCCCTTCCAGATCTACAGTTCTCAGATTTTTATTATTATTATTATTATTATAATGTGTTTGGAACTAGCTAATAGATTTCATCTCGTCGCAATGCTGATATTTGCATCGTGGCGATAAGGAATGTAATATTGGAGAGAGGACTCCATTAAAAGTTGGCAGTAGTTTCATGAGTGTAAGTCATATGCAAAATACTGAATGACATTACGGCTCAAGATACATTCTTAATCACAAGGAATGGTCACTTACCTTCATGAATTTACATCCAAATGAGATAATTTGGTAGGCTCCGAAAAGTTAAAATTTGCTGTGTTTTTCATGTCTCTATTCCTGTGCGGTAAAAAAAACACAACTTCCCGCCAGACTTTGGGCAGTAACTGCTTAACAGAGTTATATGCTTTTGGAATTTCATTTGGGTTTCACTATCAGGTAGCTGGTTTCAGAGAAGTGACTAAGTTCGTCAGTTTCAAAAGAATAGTGTTGGGGTGACTGACAAACTTATTCCAATGCCAGCTTTTGTGAGTTACAGCTTTTTCTGACACAGGTTTCTTTAGCTCTTACCACCTTTTCCTTCATTGAGCTCAAATCTATGCGTAGATTTTACACCCTACTTTATTCTTACAACAAACTTGTAAGGCAGGCCAGGCAGAAAGGGTGAGTGGCTCAAGGTCAGTGAGTGTGTTAAAAAGGAAGGCCCGCGAAAATTCCTACGTGATCAGTTTATGGAATTTTCTCAGGATCTTCTTAGGTCAGCGGTTGAGGCCTCCAGCTGCAGGGACAGAGGTTGGGAGTTCGAATTCCCCCGCTGTCGCTCCTTGGCAGGGGCTGGACTGGATGATCCAGAGGATCCCTCTGGATGATGATAATGATGAGACAAAGCCTATGGATCCAAGAGTTGTAAGCGGGACCAGGTGGTGGTTCCTCAAATATGTTGTAATTGTGTTTGTCTTCAGACGCTCGGGTTCTTCCCTCTGCTTGGAACCTTGGCTGGGAATCTTGCATTTATGAATAAATGAACTGAAAGCCGTGATTTTGTTATTCTGTAGGGTTTTTTTAAGTGGTTTCCCCCCACCCCTTCTCAATTCTAATTTCCCTTTCCCAAGCGAGCTCAAGATGTTTCACTGGAATACCTATATGTCATCCCCACGCTATGAGCAACCACAATCCCTCACTTAGTTCTCTGTACAGTTATCCACGTTCCCATCGATAAATGTACTAACGTTTGCAGCATGTGGCAGAAACTGCATTCCATAGTCCGGCTGATTCTCTGCGTCTGCCCACAAAATGTGGGGTGACACATTTCAGGTGCCCGAAGGAGGGTGCATGTATGATTCTAGCCGTCGTCACAACATCCCTGTGAGGCAGCACAATATTATTGTCCTTAAGGAGAAGGCTGGGTCGAAGGCCGAGAGAACCTGCGCTTGCTTGAGGCTGTGGAGGGCATCGGGGGGCCCCACTGAGATGTTCCCAGGGTCACCCCTAAAAACTCAATCCATGGACCATCTCATGGGTGGGATCCACCTTGTCAGTATGATGTGTTCGGAACGGTGCATCCGATGGTAGAGCCGGAAAGGGGCAGTCACTACAGCCCTCTGTCTCAGTGTTTTGTATCAACTAGGCTCACTGATGCTAGTTGACGTGCGCAGGACTGTACCACTTCTCCCCAAGTGGTATAGTCCTGCACACGTAATAAGAGCAAGGTGAAATCTAGTCAATATCAATTGGGCGACAGGCCTCTGCAGGTTTTATCCAAGGGAAAAGTCCTTCAAGGCGTTGTCTCCGCCCTTCCTTCGGGCGTTGCTCTGGGACCCCTTGTGTTCTTCCAGGAGCCTCACTGGGGAGTTCAGTTCTCGACCCCTGGCTCTGGTGCTCCAACCCACTGACCTCCTGACTGCGTCCTTGTTGGGACTAGTTTCTTCATGTGGGAGTCAGCACGGGCAAATATTCATCCTTGTTCTTGAACCAACACTTTCCTTTCAATTAGAGGACATTTTCCCACACGTTATATATATTTAAGTGCCTCCAAGGGGGCTGTCCCATCAGCCAGCCTGGTAACACAGACCTAAATATCTCTCGTGAGAGATGGATAAATAGGTTTGGTGTACAAACCTTGATGCTAGAGGACTCCCCTTCATTCTGCCCCACCTTCACAGAGCAGGCCCACGACATTCTGCTGCCTGAGGCAGAAAGGCATTCCCACACACACACAGAGAGAGACATACTAAAATCAAAGTCAACGTAGTGCCTAAAGCTAATGAGTGTCTCTCCGTGG